GGGCTCGAACCGGCAACCTTCCGATTACAAGGCGAACTCCCAACTCTTGAGCCACAATCGCCCCAGAGGGAAGGGGGAAAAAACAAGTGTCGAGGGTGTGAGTGGTCCTTATTGATGACACTGGCTTTCTGCTGAAATCTGCCAGTGTAAATATCTCTGAGGGGGATTAGTGAAGTGCCAATTAAATGTGTTCAGCTACCGATGTGCGCTTTTCAAGACGATTCAAGACACATTAATCGTGTGTATATATGTTTATATAAAACTCTGTTTGACTCTGTTAGTTTCTGTGACTGAACAAACCTTTGTCCTATTTTAATACTCATTGAATTTGCACTTGTTTCAAACAAAGTTGTTTCATAAGACGTACGTGTAATAACACCAGCTACATTTCCTGTAACTATTATTTATAATAATATTATTAAAAATGTTAGTAGATATAGTATAGCAGTATATTTTAGTGTGTTCTTAATCAAAGCAGTAATTATAACACTGCAAACATTACAATAATGATTTTAATTAATCATGTAATGAGAATGCCTGTCCTGAGTCTTTGGTAAGTTGAGTCTAAATCTTTTTTATCTGAACATCAAAGTTTCAAAGATAACTGCTGCTTTTCCACCAATGCAGGTATGCAACTGAACAACCAGCTCCTGCAGCTGGTGGGGCTCAGGTTTGCTGACGAGAACTACGAAATTGACTTTGATGATTACCTCACCTGCATTGTCCGTCTGGAGAACATGTTCAGTATGTACAAAACACTATGTTGAAAGATCGGTTTACATTTTGGGAAACAAGGATCACAATAAGTACGAAAATACATAAAGATCAGAGAGAAGACTTCTCGCTGTGTTTTTTTATCCAGGAGCTTTCCAGGCTATGGACAAATTCAACAGGGGACGAGTGCAAATGAACATCATGCAGGTAAAACCACAAACACGCCAAACATGAATCCTGAGTTTTTACTGTACTGTACCTCACATACCTGATGGATCTGTTTATCCAGGCTGTCAGACAGTTTATGCTTCCCAATAACTAACCAGATTTAGGATGTAGCATTCACAGCCTTCATGCTTTTGCCGGTCGTGTTAAATTGTCTGCAATTTCTCCTCTTTGCTTCACAGTTCCTGATGTTGTCGATGAACATGTGAGGAGGAACTGAAACGGATACCAGCGGAGGAACAAAACGCAGCAGATCATCTTTAAGAGCAATGTTGTGAATATTAAACTTCGCCATGATTCAGATTCTGTGCTGTTATTATTATTTGAAATGTAATGTGAAAACACTGTCTGAGCTCAAATGTTTTTGAATGGGAGTGGTTTA